TATTACCTAAATTATCCTTTATAGAATGTATTAAAACATAATAATGATAAATAAATAGGCCAAATAACTATATCAGTACCCTCGAAGCTCCCCCAAGAGGAGAAGATCTGCCAGGACTGCTAAGAAAACAAACCACAATGGCGTAATGACACCGAAATCTCTGTCAAAATACTGTCAAACTAGCAAACAGTGTCGCTTTTGTTGTACATTCAATATCAGGCGATTATTTCAGGCAAATACTAGCGGGAGAACATCCGAATAATCGAGAAAAACGCGAATATCTGCAGCCGCTGAGTCCTGTGACGCAGTGTTTGCGATGAGCCTCATCACAAGCTGCCTGTTACTTTTCTCATCGCTTTCACACACTGACCAACCGCCCGTGAAGATGATGCTTGTTTTTGATGCCTGCTGAAAGATTGAGAATGTTTTACCTGATCTTTTGTGTAATCCGGCGGTCACGAAGCCAAACAAAACTGCGAGGGAAAGATATATTCCGAGACAAGCCATGATGACGGAGGAAGCGCTCTGCGTGAGAGGAAACAAGCGGAGTTAATATATAAGCGCGTGCTGGATTCAGCTGTGGGTGTCCTACATGGATATTCAGCTTCCAGTAAAGATGAGCAGCACATTCAACAGCAGAAACTGCCTCTAACTTTGACCTTCTGACTTTAGGAAATGATTATTGTGGCAGATAACGGAGCACTCACCCGCTGAAGCCGTGACGCAGATCTGAAGCGATGATGGAGTGACGTCACCACGCACAATCCACCGATAAACAGTCCAAACACACTTGCGCGCTATAGGGGGCCTGATGAACTAAACTGGCCTTAGTGTATGAGTGTGTGTGTGAGTGAGTGTGTATGGGTGTTTCCCAGAACTGGTTTGCATCTGGAAGAGCATCCGCTGTGTAAAACATATGCTGGAATAGTTGGCAGTTCATTCCGCTGTGGCGACCCCTGACTAATAAGGAAGTAAGCTTTATTATTATGCCTTAATAACTCTGAACAACATGCAGGAGATAATGGAGATTCAGAACAGTAGTAATGCTGTATCCGCCATTAACAGTGTGGCCACTAGATGGCAGCAGAGCGCAGCTGAATTATGAACTAATCATTTTTAATATTGTTATTGACGTCACTACATAATAATCTCCTATTTAAACAAGTTTATCATATTAATCTCTCCCGGTGGAGCAGATCTATCAGTGTAAACAGGTTACAATCAAGCCTCAAAGCAGTGTTAAATAAGGTAACCTGTAACCTACTATGGAAGTCAATGGTTACCGGTTTTCAACATTCTTCAGAGTATCTTCTTTAGTGTTCAGCAGGAGAACGCAGCTCATAAAGAGTTGATGTCCACCTGGGGGAGTGTGAATGAGTGAATGTTGATTTTTGGGTGAACTGACCCTGGTTTTGTCAAGGTCTACATGAATATAGTGTGTGTCAGGAGTGTTTGTGAGGACGCAGAGCTTTGCTGACAGCTGAAGGAGAGTCTCTTCAACACTTTCCCTCAAATCCTCCACATGTCAGGCGTTTCTCCACACTTATGAGCCTTTATAAGCCCTCATGAGCCCCTACAGGCAGCTGATCTGGATCTGCCGGCAGCTGCTCTCTGCTCGTCCAGCTGTTCTCCTTTGCTCTGGAGTTAATATCACACTGCTGTGTCTTTCACTCGCAGTACAGTTTTATTCTGGATTAAGTGAACTAATATGCTTTCTGATTAAAGAGCTCTTGTTCTGCAGAGATCACTCCTGCAGGAGCTTTAAACACAGCAGCAGTGTGTGAGGATCTCCAGCAGCCTCTGATGCTCAACAGCACTGAACTGGGTTTGTTCTAATCAGACTTGATGCAGAAACACTGTGATTGACATTCCCCTGCTGTACGTGTCATCAAGCCCCGCCCACTAGTGCCCATCTCATTAGCATGTCCAGCAGGCCTGAGTGAGAAGCAGCCGTCTGTCCATTCGCCATTACAGTGTTTGAGCTGCTGAAGATGATGTCAGCATAGACTAAGAGCATTATAGATGTGGAGTTCTCACTTCTTTCTCTTCTTAAACACAAAAGAAGATATTTTGAAGAATGTTGGAATCCTGTAACCATTGACTTTCATAGTATTTGGTTTTCCTATGGAAGTCAATGGTTACCGGTTTATCTTCTTCAGTGTTCAACAGGAGAAAGAAGCTCCTAAAGGTTTATAGTCGCCTGAGGGAGAGTGAATAATGAGTAAATGTTCATCTTTGGTGTGAACTGACCCTTAATTTGGCCAACACAAGAGCAAATGAGCTCCTCTAAAGCCCTCCATATGTCGTCTGCTCATGAAATATCACTTTTATTATCATCATCATCACTTTTGTCACGATTATAGTTCTGCTAAAGGCCACGCTGCTGATTATATGAAGCTTCAGTCCTCCATTGCCCTCCCTCCTCTAATGACGCTCGGGTTTCTTCTCGTCTCTTTATTTTCTGTTTAATTAATTCTTCTGTGAACAGTCACATAATGACGCTCTGCTGCAGTGGATAATAGAGCGGTTCGTTAACATTCAGCCGCTCTGTGGGTTTCTCCTCTGTGGGCTGAATGCCAGAGCCGGCTTTATAACTCTACACACACCTTAAACAAGCTCACGACACACACACATGTTCAAACTCAGGGGGACTCAGTATGGAGCCAGATCAGTCTCAAAACTTGTATTTGATCAGTTGTGTATTTACGTAGTGTGTTGTGTGTATTAAGGCGGTTCATTCCGCTGTGGTGACCCCAGATTAAAAAAGGGACTAAGCCAAAAAGAAAATTAATGCATGCCTGTATTTACGAATTGTGTATATACAAATTGTGTTGTGTATTTACGTATTGTGTTGTGTGTATTTGTGAATTGGGTTGTGTGTGTTTACGAATTGTGTTTAGTAAAGGTATTATTTCTGAGACTGATCTGCCTCTATAAGGTAGTTGTTTGTTTGTTTTTCAGCTTGTTGTGTATTTTAAGAGTTCACCATGAATGAATCTGCCCCATACAGAAGCTGGTGTACATGATTCCATCATCCCAATCTGCAATAAAACATAACAATTATTCTAAAAATGTTTATTATATCATACAAAAATATGTCCTGCAGTCAAACTCATCACATTTACATCAACATCACCTCAGAGCTGAAGAATGAGCAGTGTCTCTAATATAATCAACCATTTCATCTTCAGCACATCTCCATGTTGTTATATTTCAGGCTCAGATCATTTGCATTTGCCTGTTCAGATATGATTATTCCCCATCAGCTGAAGTAATGAAGGTGTAGACAGTCTAAACTCTTCAGCATTATCACTGACATGATGTAGGAACGCATCCGCTCACCACAGCTACTGGTTATTTCACAGCAGTGATGTCTGACTGCAGACTTATCAGACCACATGCGCATTGTCAATGTTTAAAATGCATTTATTATGATGATGATGATGATCACTTATGAAGGCTTCTGCCATGTTAAAGTGCTCACTAAAGTGTAGCACAGCTATAAATCAACAGCTCATCTCTTCTGTCAGCAGAGTAATGTAGGAGAGTTAGTATGCTGAACAGAAACCTGTGGTTCTGACACACTTAAACACAATAAAGCCCAGATATATGATGATGACTGGAAGATCAGAATCACCCTTCAAGCGCTTTAGACAACGGCTGAACACATAACAGGAAACAGAACTAACCCGCAGCAGATACATGTGAATGTGGAATGAGGGATTATTTGAGGAGGTTAAACACAGACTGGAGATAATGCAGAGGCACAGATTCAGCACACTGAACACCTGACGTCCATGAGCTCAACTGAAGAGAAGATGAGGGACGCACTGAAAACACACAAACACACACAACCCTGTAGTGCTGTAGTACTGTGTTTCCCAGTACTGGGTTGCAGCTGGAAGGGCATGTGCTGTGTATTGCTGCGGTCACACTAGAGTTTGAGCATGTGAAATTCTGTAGTATGGCGCTGTGAAAAGAAGGCGGGATTAAACTAAATGATTAGACATTAATAAAGTGAGCGATTGCTCCGTGCTTTACATTTCTGTCCAGAGCTTGTGTTTTGATCCTCGATTGGTTTCACGCAATCAAGTGATGTGATTTTTAAAGCTACCGTTCACGGCTGGGATGAAGAGGTGTAGACGGGCTGATTCGAGTCACTGTTATGGCTCCGTACTCGCCTACTGTTTTTCTAATATTAGAACTCTGGACACTGCTCAGCTCAGACAGTTTTCACATACTGTATAGTAGTGAAGTATGTGATTATGAACACAGCTCATGTCTACAGCTGGAGGGAGAGTGAAACCCGCGCGCTGAACAGCTGAACGCCTTACAAATTGTGTTTTGAATTTTACACATTTCATTTGCATATTTAAAAATTGCTTTGAATTTTACTAATTTGATTTGCATATCTATGAATTGGACTGGCATGTTGATGAATTGTTTAAAATGTATGGATTGTATTTGCATAATAAATGAATTGTATTTCAATATTTATGAATGGTTTTTAATTTACAAATTTGATTTGCATATTTCTGAATTGTTTTTAATATATAAATTGAATTTGCATATTTAGGAATTGTTTTATATTTATAAACTCGATTTGTATATTTATTAATAGCTTTAAATTTATTAACTGGATTTACATATTTATGAATTAGTTTACATTTATGAAATGGATTAGCATATTTAGAAATTGTTTAAAATTTATAAGCTGGATTTGCATATTATTAATTTTTTAATATTCATGTACTGAATTTACATATTTAGGAATTATTTTAAATTAATTAAATGGATTTGCATATGTATTATTATTTTACATTTATGAACTGCATTAGCATATTTATGAATTATTTTATATTTATGAACTGGATTTGCATATTACTGTTTTTTAATATTTATGAACTGGATTTGCAGATTTAAGATTTTTTTATTTATTAACTGGATCATATTAATGATTTTTTTATATTTATGAACTGGCTTTGCATATTTATGAATTATTTTTTATTTATGAACTGGATTTGAATATTTAAGATTTTTTTTATATTTATGAACTGGCTTTGCATATTTATGAATTATTTTTTATGAACTGGATTTGCATCTTTAGGAATAGTTTTAAATTTAATAACTGGATTTGCAGATTTGTGAATTATTTTTAATTTACAAACTGGATTTGCATATTCATGAAATGTTTTAAAGGAACTGCACTTGTGTATTTTCGAGTGTACACACTTGGTGTTGTAGATGTGAACTGTGCTGTGCATGTATAGAACTTTGTGTTGTAAATGTGTTATTTTTAAGACTCGCCTACTGATCCAATGCTATTAATTCTGACATACTCCTCAGCTCACATACTATGTAGTAGTGAAGTATGTGATTTTGAACACAGCCCGTGTCTACAGCTGAGTGAAACCAGCGTGCTGAGCAGTGCAGTACAGCACAACCCTATCATCAGCTCCTACAAACATGTTTCTCTTTAGTCCAAAACCATGTTTGCCTGCTGAACTTGGCGAACCCTCTCAAAATGCTGCTGCTGGGCAAATGCAGTCCCTCATTACAGTGATCATTACAGCTGAACAGCTCAATTCTGTGTCCCTAAAATGCGTTTTCGCCCAGTAGTGTTTCTGACGGCCGACTCTTCATTGCATCCCTCTTTATGATGTGGTTGTTTTGGCACAAAGCCCTTCAGCAAATGCTGTCCCTGAGCCCCAGTGGTCTAGGGTCTGGACAGAGTGGTGTAGACGGGGGGGTCCCAGTGTGCAGAGGAGCTGTGCGGTGCGGGGATGTTGAGTATGGGCCTGTGCAGGTATGGGTATGGGTACGGGTAGCTGGAGTACGGGCTGTAGAAGCTGTGCTCTGTGTATTCACACTGTGCGCTGCTGCTGCTGTAAAGCGTGCTGCTGTGCTCACTGTAGTGCTGCGGGCTCCGCTGCTCCGTCTTTATGTGCACTCGCTGTGGGTGCAGGTGTGCTCCAGCAGGGGGCGCCCTCCGGCTGCAGGCGCCCTGATCTGGGGTCAGAGGCAGGTACTGGTCAAACTCCTGCAGGTCAAAGGTCAAGTTGCCGATGACGTCCGTGCTGAGCTCGGAGATGTCCACGTTGCTGAAGTCAATGTTCTGTTTGGGGGCCTGAGGATGCTCTGTTTTGGGGGTGGTTGGAGGAGTCGGTGGACCGTGAGTATGACCTGAGGATTAGCAATATAGAGATGATGCTGTGTGTCAGTATAGGGCAGCACAATATACAAAACAACAACATGATCCAGTCAATTACTTTATATCTTCTGGGAGAAAACAACAGGAAACCTCCAAAATCAGACTGAAAAACAATTATTAGTGTCTATCTGTCTATCCATCCGTCCGTCTGCATTTGACGGTCAGACCACCCACACGTCTGCTTCAGGGTTAATCAGGGGGTCAGATCCACCCCAGCACCACAGTAATTCACACACATGCATATCTCCACATGTTTCTTGAGTTCACGTCTCACCTGTGTGGTCAGTGATGTGGTCCGGTGACCCAGTCAGTCGACCCATTCCCGGCTCCGCTTTATACATGTGCTGCATCAGCTCGGAGCCGGCTTCAGACTCGGCGTGGCCCGGCTTCACACTCTTCCGTCTCCTGGGCTGGTATTTATAATCCGGATGATCCTTCTTGTGCTGAACCCTCAGTCGCTCTGCCTCCTCCACGAACGGCCTCTTCTCGCTCTCCGTCAGCAGTCTGTTGAGGGCCCATACGCCGTTATTAACTCGCAGTTAGCAAAGCATGATGTATTCGTTTCAGAATGGATATCGCAATGTGCGCAATAGTCACTTAACATGATGTGCAATGTGTGGATTACAGCTGATCAAGCACAGTTCAGAATGCATGAGCTTTGTGGAGTTTAATAATGATCAAGTGAAAGACTAACATTTGCATGTGTTTTAACCCCTTAATAGTTAATGACTGGCAATATTCAACGCTTTAAATGCGTACATTTAAGTCTCATATAAAAGAAGACAGATGTCAGATTGTAGCTGAAGAGAAGAAAAGGTTTAATAAAACTAAAGTTATGTGCCTTTATGTTTATGAAAATAATAAAACAATAAAGGTATGGTTTATTATATTACATAAAATATGCTTTTTACAAAGCTGTTTTAGCCTGACATTAACAGAAAATCAAAGCTATATCCTAACAAATTTGAAGTTGATATTTCCAAAAATGAGCTTTCAGTCAGATTTAGTTTGTCTGCAGTCCCACATATAGCCACCAGGTGACCATCAGCTTACGTTGGTGACCACTCAAGAGCGAATATGAATCATATTTTTTCATATTTTTGACAATATTTTTAAAGTGGACATCAAATTCTAAAGTAGTATGGGCAGTTTAGTGGTATTTGATCCTCTAAAAACACTCTACAGATCATCACAGTCAGTCACTCATGCGTTCTTTCCAATATTCAACCCAGTAAAACTGTAAAAATAAAAACCTTGTCTTTTTGACTAATATGTCCATTCGTTTGATGATCTGAAACATGAAAGTGTGACAAAATAAGAAATCATAAGGGCAAACACTTTTTCACACCCCTGTATGCATGAGTATGTGTGCATGTACAACAGCCGTGGCCATGCAATATTTCAACATACATGTTGCATTATTGGCATATATTTCAATTATGTAAAATCTTAATATGAGCGCGTGCTTCGCATACATGTGATTTGCATATATTTCCATGTATAATATTTGTATATGGGTATTCAGAGGTAGGTCAACAGATAAGCAAAACATTACAGATCAGTTTGAGTTTACAGTTTTCAGCAGTACCTCATTTATCACACACACACACACACACACACACACACACACACACACAACAGTATGTCAAAATCATTTTGAAGACAGCTCTTAAGGGACAGCACACCCAAAAATGAAAATTCCTGAACAGAATAAAACTTTAAGCGCCATGATTTCTTATGGCCATAAACACTACAGTATCTTCATTGTGCGTGTGATGTCTGTAACCTAAGACCACTTATTTGTAAATACTTTTATAAAAATATAATTTCTTTTGTTTCTGATCTGTACAGTTGCAAGATTCAATGCACATAACCCACATATCAATGATTATTTATTGTTTATTTTTCACTTAGATGTCTTTCTGTCCCCTTGTGTCGATTTTAAATCAGATTTATTAATAAAGCACAATAAAAACCCCACTGTGCTGTACAGAAGATCTGCTAATAACATAAAACAGATATAAATGACCAGAGTACATTTAAAAAAGAAAAAGAGGGTGTAAAAACACTGATTAATGATGATTTTGCGTCATGTATGGACAGTTTGTGTATATACTGTATGTATCTGAGCTTCTGTAAAGCACAGAAATATTCCTCGGTGAATAAAGCTGATTCTGATCGTATTCCAGGAATCGCATCCCCCCTGGGAATCTATGGTTGCGTCTCAATCAGCAGCCTTGTTCACTAGTGAGTGCACTGATCAGGGTGCACAACTCATTGTCAGTGCTGTCTCAGGCCCTGTCCACAGGAACACCGGTGTTTTCGAAGCTGCAGATTTTTCGATGTGGTTCGTCTACATGGAAACACAGCAGCAGGTGACTGAAACCCAAACCTTCGGAAAACTCCGGCCAGGGTGAAGATTTTCAGAAACCCCGGGTACACTGTGGTCATGTGGACGATAAACCCAAGAGCGTTTTCCTCATGACGTCAGTGTGTGTGCTGTTTTCTCTTTTCTGATTGGCCGACACGGTTAGGTTCACACCAAATGCAGAAGAGGTGATTGAGGTGAATTC